AGGTAGGTAGGTAGGAAGGTAGGTAGGTAGGAAGGTAGGTAGGTAGGAAGGTAGGTCGGTAGGAAAATAGGTAGGTAGGAAGGTAGGTAGGTAGGTAGGAAGGTATAGGTAGGTAGGAAGGTAGGTAGTAGGGAGGTAGGTAGGTAGGAAAGTCGGTAGTAGGTAAGAAGGTAGGTAGGTAGCAAGGTAGGTAGGAAGGTAGGTAGGTAGGTAGGAAGGTAGGTAGTAGGTTGGAAGGTAGGAAGGTAGGTAGGAAGGTAGGTAGGTAGTAGGTTGGAAGGTAGGAAGGTAGGTAGGTAGGTAGGAAGGTAGGTAGTAGGTTGGAAGGTAGGAAGGTAGGTAGGTAGGAAGGTAGGTAGGTAGGTAGGTAGAAGGTAGGTAGTAGGTTGGAAGGTAGGAAGGTAGGTAGGCAGGTAGGAGGTAGGAAGGCAAGTAGCAGGGAGGGAGGTAGGTATAAAGGTAGGTAGGTAGGAAGGTCAGTAGGGAGGGAGGTAGGAAGGTAGGTAGGTAGGTGTGTGTGTGTCTCACCAGCTTTACTTCCACTTCCCCTCCTGACCTCCCTCGCAAAGCTTGCTTTCAACCTTTTCCATTTCACGTAACCTCCGTCTTGAGAAGTGGCAGGGGAAAGAGGAGTCTCTCCATTCCGAGGATTTGGAAACGGAGTACCTGACAGGCATCTGGATCTACAGTGACAGCAAATCAGAAGACCTGAAGTCCAGAGCTCTAACGTCTATCGCTGATTTTCAAATTCTAGTTTTCTTCTACAGCAGAATCCTTTTTAATGAAATCTTACATAAAACTTGATATATATAAAACTGATAGGTACTGAGCGGCTCTTGCGGAAGCAGGATAGGAGGCCCGCCTTCTGTCCTCCCATCCAGAAACTCAGCCTTTGGGCAGCACTTGTGGTCCCCCTGGGATCCCGGCTCACAGCGCCCAGGTGTAAAAACTACTTCTCAAGAGGCAGCTTTGCTAGGGCGGATGCTGAAAACCTGGGTTAGAGCAGAAGAACAGACAGAGGGGCCGCATCTCTGCCTCTGAAATCCTAGCCAGGAAGGCGGAGGCCACCTTACCTTTCTCCAGCATGAAGGGCTGAGTCAGAGGTGGGATGGCCCAGAAGCTGTCGCTGTCCAGGCTGCGCAGGGACTGCAGGGGGATGGTGGCGGACTAGCCAAAGTGGACGAACATCACCACAGCCCAGGCGTCCACCTGGTCGATCACCCAGCACCTGGCCAGCGGCAGGGGAGAAGGAGAGAGGACGCTGCTCCATGCACAGCGGTCCCCAACAAAGAGGGCTGGAAGGGTGAGGCTGAAGGAGCAGCAGCGAGTGTCTTGCTTTCCCCTTGCCCGGGTGGCGAGGTGATAATAAGCACAGACAATGTTGAGAGGAGCAGCAGGAAAGGAACCAGAGCCCAGAGGAGGAGAAGCTGGAAGCAGAGGGCAGCTCTGCCTGCGGGCCTCCCCCAGGCCCTCCCTCCATCCATGCCCGGGCTCACATCTGTTCCAGGCCCATCCATAAAGCCCAGGAGGTACTCTGCCACACAGCCAGTCCCGCGCTGCATGGCTGAGCCATTCAGGTAAGGCTGCTGCTCCTCGGTCTCAGCCAGGGTGCTGAATGGCACCTCCATGTCCTGCTGCAGGTTCTGGAGGTTGTCCCAACACAGTGGCCTTGCTGCCTGCATCACACTATGCACCTGTCCTTACCGATGCCATCTGCTATCTCAGTCCCACTAACCTGTCCCAAAGGCGCGAGGTGGGAGGGAGAATGAGGCTGAAACCAGGGCCCAGACGGCGGTCATTGTGGATTTCCACCGCCGAATGACCCCCATCACCACGCCCCCCACCCAGGAGGGCCCCCAGAGAATGCACAGAGGCCCGAGGGCACCGTGAGCTGTACTTCAGTAACATGCATGGCCCAGAAGAATGGGGTCTGAGGGATGACACTGGTCACCAGAGCCCCACCTCCCCACGGAGGTGGGGGACGGTGGCCAGCCAGCTCAGGTCTGGGAAGCAATCCCTCAGCAGCAGCACTGGGCAGGACCCTCTACAAGGAAAGCAAGGGGCGAGGGACCCGCGTGAGTGAGTGAGTGAGTGAACTCACCCAACACCTGTCCTGTGGGATGCTGGGCTGGCCATGGGCGCAAGAGTCACCATGAGCCGGAGGTCATGAGTATTTCCACTGGGGCTGGGGGCGGGGCTGGACAAGCACCCAGTAATCATAACGCACCACAGAGGAAACAAAGCACCGCGCCGGGGAACAGGCGTTGGAGAGTTTGGGGAGGGGTGCAGCAGAGAGAAGCAAAACCACATCAGGAAACTCCTTCGAGAGACATGGTCAAAAGCCCTGGCTGGGTTGATTTTTGAGCCTGCTAAAGTGATTCATGGGAACCCTGGTAGTGTAGTGGTTAAGTGCTATGGCTGCTAACCAAAAGGTCAGCAGTCTGAATCCACCCGAGGCTCCTTGGAAACTCCATGGGGCAGTTCCACTCTGTCCTATAGGGTTGCTGTGAGTTGGAATCGACTTAATGGCAACAAGTTTCGGGGTTTTTTTTTGATTAAAGTGGTTCATGAGCCTCTGAAGGATGCAGATGCAGTCTGTCCACAATTCAGCATATGTTTTAAATCCCAAAATAACTCCTCCCGCCCAGTGTTTAAGCACATCCCAAACTTCCTCCTGCCAGCCTCCGCTGATTTTCTTACCTGACTCAGTAACTCGTGGTTAGCAAGGCGAACCTGCCGCTTTCAAAAAACACAAGAGAAGCCACTCATCCGATCACATCTCAAGTCAAAAAGGGGATTCTGGCATCTCAGACACGGAGTGTGGTGTTCAGCGTTACAGAGAAGCGGGTGTGGTGGGCATGATTATCTCACGGCATCCAGGTAGAGAATGGGCACAGGCCTTCACTGTACGGAAGTGGAAACCGATTGTTTTTTCGGCATTCAACAGAAAGCGCGCCATCAATTATGTTCAATCCAACTGGGATGAGTATTATGAAGGAGATGGCCCGATGCTGGCAAACGGGATACAGGGCATCCTCAAGAGCTGAGCATGCGCTAGGATGCCACATTTTAAACAAGAAAAGGTATTTTTCAGTTTTAAAATTCTCCTAATGATTTTATTTATTTTTAAATTATTATCAAAGCTACATATGATCCTAGTTTCATGAGTAGAATCAGCCATTCCAAAAAAACAAGTCTCCTAACCTTATTCCCCCAGAGCCAACTACTTTCTATCCTTTTAGCTAATTCTTTTAGCATTTACTTCAAATCCCTAGACACGCTTATACTGCTTCTTGATTTATATTACTTTTTCTTTTTTACCTTTATCTCCATTTTTTTTTGGCAATAACTCCCCCCAGCCCCTGGTAACCACTAACCTACCTCTGTCCCTATGCATTTGCCTATTCTAGATATTTCCTGTAAGTGGGACCATACACTATTTGTCCTTTGTGTCTGACTTATTTCACTTAGCATAATGTTTTCGCGGTTCATCCATATTGTAGCATGTAGCAGAACTTCAATTCTCTTTAGAGCTGAATAATATTCCATTGCATGCCTATACCATGTGCAGTTTATCCATTCATCTGTTGATGGCCACTGGGATTCTTTCCGCCTTTTGCCTATGGTGAATATTGCTGCTATGAACATTGGTGTACTCTTTGAGTCTCTGTTTTCAAGCATCTTGTGTATATACATAGGAGTGGCAATGGTCATATGATAATTCCATGTTTAACTTTTTGAGAAACTGCAAATCTGTTTTCCACAGAGGCTGAACCATTTTACAACCCCATCAGCAATGCATAAGGATTCCAATTTTTCCACATACTCACCAACACTTATTTTCCAGTTTTCTGATAGTGGCCGTCCTAACTTGTTGCCATTGAGTCAATTCTAACTCATACTGACCCCATAGGACAGAGTAGAAGTGCCCCATTGGGTTTCCAATGCTGTAATTTTTATGGGAGCAGACTGCTACATCTTTCTTCCGTGGAGCGGAAGGTGAGTTTGAACTGCCGACCTTTCGGTTAGTAGTCGAGCGCTTATCCACTGCACAACTAGGGCTCCAATAGCCATCCTAGTGGATGTGAAGTAGTAGCTCATTGGGGTTTTGATTTGCGTTTCCCTATCACAAAACCATAGTAATCAAATTAGTGTGGTAGCGGTATAAGGATAGACATACAGACCAATGGAATAGAACAGAGAAATAAACTAATACATCAATGACCAACTGATTTTCAACAAGGGCGCCAAGTCCATTCAACAGAGAAAGAATAGTCTCTTCAACAAATGGCGCTGGGAAAACTGGATCTTCACGTACACAGGAATGAAGCTGGACTCATACTTCACAACTAATGACTAATTATGAGCATCTTTTTATATGTTTATTGGCCATTTGTATATCTGCTTTGGAGAAATGTCTGTTCAAGTCCTTTGCCCATTTTTTTTAACTGCGTTGTTTGTCTTTTTGTTTTTGAGTTGTAGGATATTAAACCTTTATCCGATACACAGTTTCCAGATATTTTCTCCTATTCTGTAGATTGTCTTTTCACTTTCTTGATAATGTCTCTTGATGCACAAAAGGTTGTTGAAACTTTGATAGGGATTGAGTTGAATCTGTAGATCACTTTGGGTAGTACTGTCATCTTGAAAATATTGAGTCTTCCAGTCCATGAACACAGTATGTCTTTCCATTTATTTAGGTCTTTAATTTCTTTCGGCAATGTTTTATAGTTTTCAGTGTACAAGTCTTTCACTTCGCTGGTTAAATTTATTCCTAGGTATTTTATTCTTTTGGATGCTTTTGTAAATGAAATTTTTTCTTAATTTCATTTTCAGATTATTCATTGTTGATATACAGAAGCACAACTGATTTTTGTACGTTGATCTTGTACTTTGACACTTTACTAAATTCATTAGTTGTAGTAACTTTCGTCTGGATTTTTAAGGATTTTCTATATATAGGATCATGTCATCTGCAAATAGAGACAGTTTTACTTCGTCTTTCCAATTGGATGCCTTTTATTTCCTTTTCTTGCCTAATTGCTCTGGCTAGACCTTCCGGTACAATGCTGACTAGCAGTGATGAAAGCAGGCATCCTTGTATTGATCTTGATCTTCAGAGAAAGCTTTCAGTCTTTCATTCAGTATGACATTAGCCATGGGTTTTCATAAATGTCCTTTCACATGCTGAGGAATTTCCCTTCTCTTTCTAGTTTATTGAGTATTTTCATCATGAAAGGGTACTGGATTTTGTCCGATGCCTTTTCTGCGTCAATTGACATGATCATGGGGTTCTTTTCCTTGGTGGAAAGAGATTTTATGTCATTCTGGATCACAGCCTTAGAGCCTGGGTCTGATGAAGGAGTTCCTGCAAATGTTATCTCCCAACTCAGTCCTATCCGTGTCCCCATCCCCTGAGGGACTGAATGAGGTTTCCAGTCACCCTTTGCCCTGGTGGTCTTTCTGAGCCTCTGCTCCCCTCCTTTCCATGGGAACTGCAGAGAAGGTTGTTTTCGGTCTCTCTGTCTCACATGGGTCAGTGGAAGCCTGTGTACCAGCTGGAAAGCAGAAGATTAAGTCCTGGAGGCACCAGATCTACCCCTAGAGGATCACACCCCTCTCCCTGGAGACCTTGGCCCTGCCCTCAGGAGGATAAGATGAGCCAAGAAGCCACATTCACCCATTTCTCAGCCTCTGGATCCTCAGCTAGGTGGCAAGGGTTTGTTGGATCATATTCTTCAATCAAGACAGAGCCATGGAGCAATATAAAGGGGTGTCTTCTACAAAAAGGAGTCAACATGGGGGAAAGCGGGAAGGGAGGCAGTGGAAGAAGTGGGAAACTGGGTGGGGCAGGGAGAGGTAAACAAGGAGCGGCAAAGATGGGTCTTGGGAGCAGGTGGCAGCTCAGGGTCTCACCAGGGCTTTGGGCACTTCCTTCACCAGAAACCTTCTCCACAGCCTAGGAAGACAAAAAGAAGTTTTCACTCAGGCACGGCTGTATTTACTTTATTGATTTTACATTGAATCACTCCAGGTAGATTTTGAGGCAGGACACGGAGCAACAGCAGCCCCTGCTCTGACACGGACTCTAGATGACTTCTCAGACACTCACCCGCTTTCTCGCTGGAAGCCCGAGCCAACCCAAAGAAAACCATTCAGAAATGGGGAAGGGAGGTAGGGAGGCAGCCATCAGGGAGTCCTCCATCAGTGTAGTCACAGAATGCGCTGCACACACAGCCCACCCCAGACAAGAGGTGGATCTGGGCCTGCTTAGGCTAGCAGATCCCTGCTGGCCCTTCTTGAAGGAAGAAGAGGAGGAAATGGTTATGCTGGGATTAGGGCTGGGGAGAAAGCACACGGGCTGTAGTGGAGACAGTACGGCCTGGATGTCTTGCCCACCACTGTAATTCTGCAGACCCCAAACACACGCTGCTTTTCCTCTCTCCAGTGTTCTCCCCTGGAAAATCCTCAATCTTGGTTACACCCAAGTATCTGCCCACCCTGCCTCTATCTCTGCATTCCCGCCATTGACAGTTGCCAGAGAACACATTTATGGCCACTGTTCTCAAATGGACATTCAATACTATAGTCCCACTGTACTGGGTTGAATAGTGTCCCCCCAGAATTCACGTCCACTTGGAACCTCAGAATGGGACCTTCTTTGGAAATAGGGTCTTTGCAGATGTAATTCGTTGAGATGATGTCATACTGGATGTGATGGTTAAGGTTGTCTGTCAACTTGGCGGGGCCATGATACTCAGTGGTTTGGCAGTTATGTAATGACATAATTTGGTAGTTATGTAATGATGCAGTTATCCTTCATTTTGTGATATAATGTAATCACCTCCATGGTGTAATCTGATGTGATCGGCAAATCAGTTGTAAGGGGAGTTTCCCTGAGGGCGTGGCCTGCATCCCACATATATGGATGTTCTGGCAAAGCTCGCTGACTTTTGCTTGCTCTGGATCCTGCATCTGGCTCATCATCATCTGACCTCTAGTTCTTGGGACTTGAGCCAGCGGCTGCCATATTGCCTGCCGATCTTGGGATTCATCAGCCTCCACAGCCTGTGAGCCGGCAGCCTGTCATCTTACCCGCCCATCTTGGATTCATCAGTCTCCACAGCCTGTGAGTCAGCGGCCTGTCGCCTGACCTGCGTATCTTGGGTTTGTCAGCCCCTGCAGCTATGTGAGTCAGGACCAGCCTCCAGCCTAATGTCTGACCCACAGACTTGGGACTTCCCAGCCTCTACAACTGCGTGAGCCATTTCCTTGAGATAAATCTCTCTCTCTCTGTTTATATATATATACATGTTTCACTGGTTTTGCTTCTCTAGAGAATCCAGCCTAAGACACTGGATTAGGGCGGGCCCTAAATCCAATATGACTGGTGTCCTTATAAGAAGAGACAGAGAGAAGCTATGTGACAACTGAGACAGAGATTGGAGTTATGCTGCCAGAAGTCGAGGAACTCCAAGGATTGCTGGCAACCACCAGAAGCTAGAAGAGGCCTAGAAGGATCTTCCCCTAGAGCTTTTGGAGGGAGCATGGCTCTGCCAACACCTGAATTTCAGATTCCTGTCCTCCAGTACTGTAAAAGAATAAATTTCTGTTGTTTGAAGCCACCCAGTGTGCAGTGATTTGTTATGGCAGCCCTAGGAAGCTAATATCCCCACCCTACCCCATATTCCTCTAGTAAGTTTACCTTCCTACTATACAAATGGACAGTTTTCCACCCCCTCCTCTCCAAACCAACCCCCACTCGATGAACTTGCCTGTTCTCCACAGGGGAAATAGAATCAACCAGAAGGGAAGTCCCTCATTTTCTCAACCCTAAACCGCCAAATATCCCCCCAACACCTGCCCTCTCTGCCATCCTTCCTGTTACATGAAGTGCACCTGCTTCCACCCAAGGCTCTGGGTCCATCTCACCTTTTCAAGGACATCACCTTTGCAGTCACACCCTCTTTCTCCTCCACTGCTATCTCCCTTCCAGGTGGACTTCCCCACCAGGAAAAAATCATGCTCTATTATTCACTTGTGAAAAAACCCTGACTCAACCAACATCCTCTCTGGCTGCTACCCTTTCTCTGTTCCCTTCACTGAAAGTGTTGTTTGGAGTTCTGTCTACCTCCACACCTTATATCTTCTCTTCAACTCATTCCAATCACACTTCCCTGAAATGGCTCTACTCAGGGTCAGCAATGATGCTCACGTTGCCAAATTCAATGGTCAGGTCTCTGTTGTGATTTACCTCACAGCTTTCTACCCTGGGGACCACTCTCTCCTTCCAGAAACACTTCTTCCCTTGGCTTCCTTGACATCACACACTTCTGGTTTTCTTTCTCTTCCACCAGCCGGCCCTGCTCAGCTCAACCACTAAACATGAGCACACCCCAGGGCTCGGTCCTCTACTTTCTCCATATACCTTCTCTCCAAGCTCATCTCCTCCAGTTCCACGGTTTTAGGTATCAACGATTCACCAAGACTCCCAAATCTGGATGTTCAACCCTAACCTCTCTCTGGAATTCAACTCAAATGTCAAGATGCCTACTTAACAGGACTGCTGAGAGGCACACTAACTTAGCATGTCTAAAACAGACTCTCCCCAAGCTGCTTCACCCCAGCCTTTTCAATTTTAGTAAATTGCAACATTATCTACCTAGTGGTTCAGGCCAAGTTCATCTCTCTCTCTCTAACTCCCTACATCCAATTCATCAGCAAGCCAAGCCATCTCTACCTCCAAACACACCCCAATCCATCCACTCTACTCTCTCGCCATGTCTACCACCCCAATACCAGCCATTGCCATCTCTTAAACAAGGGCTATAGCAACATCCTCCAAACAGGGCTCCCTGCTGCCATATTTGCTCCCACAATCCAATCACCATTCAGCAGACAATACAATCTTTTGGAAACACAAATCAGTGCACATTACTTCCCTGATTGAAACCCTTCAATGTCTTATAAATAAATCCCCCAAAGTCTTCATCTTGGCTCACAACGGCCACCATGATCTGACTCTCCTTCACACTGACCTCCTCTCCACCCACCATGCTCACAGGTTGGGGCATTTGCAGGACATCGTTCTGTCTGGAATGTTCTTCCTCTGGTCTTTGCATATCTGGATCTAAGCTGTCATTCAGATCTCAAATGAGACGTCACTTCCTCACAAAGAGGCTTCCCTAAGAACCATTTCAAGAACCTTCACTTGTATCACCTTATTTTCATTCTCTGTCTGGTACCTCCTATCTGATCATTTCTAATTTACTTACTCATTTGTTAGTTTATTGTATGTCTCTTCCCACTGGACTATAAGCATCATGAGAACAAGAACCATATTTGTCTTGCTCACCGAGGTAACCCCAGGGCCTAGAACAGTGCCTGGTACACACCTAGCTGTCAATAAATATATGTTGAATGAATGAATGACTACATGAATGAAGAAATGACTTGGGGCAAACTCTTAACTCTCGAATCCTTGGTATCCTCTTCTATAACATGCATCGCACCTGCCTTGCTGTGAGGGCTTAGCTGGGGTACTATCTGTTCAAGACATGGCATGCCGAAGGTATCAATGAACAGAAGCTATATGGCAGAGCAATTAAAAGTGTGAGTTCTGGAGTTAGACTGTCTGGGGTCCAATCCTCGTTCTAGAACCAACAAGCTGCTTAACTTTGGGCGAGTTACATGTCCCCATCTGTATGACGGGAGAGTAACAGTACCAACCTGCTGTAGTCAAATGAGTTAACACAAGAAAGTAATTAGAACGGAGCCTGCATAGCTACTGTTGTCAATCAATGAGACCCAAGTAAAATCTCTACGCTAAGCCACATTTTGCTTCGCCTGTTTACCTACAACAAAGCAAAGTGACAGTGCTAAAAATCGTCTTCTTCCAGCCAAGTACGTAAGGTACCTTTTAATTTAGAATCTCTTAACAGAGTTCTAAGGAGCCCAGTGGTGCAGTGGTTAAAGCATTCAGCTGCTAACCAAAAGGTCAGAGGTTTGAACCCACAAGCCATTTTACAGGAGAAAGATGTGGCTGTTGGCTTCCGTAAAGATGTAGAGCCTTGGAAACCCTATGGGGCAGTTCTACTCTGTCCTATAGGGTGGCTATGAGTCAGAATTGACTCGAGGGCAATGGGTTAAGAGAGTTTTACTGAGCTCTCAATTGGGATTCTGTCAGTCCTAGAGCCTTGTTTCTCGCCAATGCCTTCAGTGCGCTTGGCCTTCTTCCTTCAAGTCCAAACTGCACTGAAGGCATTGGCAAAAAACAAGGCTCCAGGAATTGATGTAATACCAAATGATATGTTTCAACAAAAGGATGCACCGCTGGAAGTGCTCACTCACCTATGCCAAGAAATTTGGAAGACAGCTACCTGGCCAACTGACTGGAAGAGATTCATGTTTGTGCCCATTCCCAACAAAGGTGACCCAACACAATGTAGAAATTATCGAACAATATCATTAATATCACATACCAGTAAAATTTTGCTGAAGAACATTCAAAAAACGTTGCAGCAGTTCATTGACAGGGAACTGCCAGAAATTCAAGCCAGATTCACAAGAGGACGTGGAACGAGAGGTATCATTGTTGCTGCCAGACGGATCTTGGCTGAAAGCACAGAATACCAGAAAGATGTTAATCTGGGTTTTATTGGCTACGCAAAGGCATTCAACTGTGTGGATCATAACAATTATGGATAACATTGCAAAGAATGGGAGTTCTAGAACACTTAATTGTGCTCATGAGGAACCTGTACATAGACCAAGAGGCAGTCCTTCAAACAGAACAAGGGGATACTGCATGGTTTAAAATCAGGAAAGGTGTGTGTCAGAGTTGTACTCTTTCATCATACTTATTCAATCTGTATGCTGAGCAAATCATCCGAGAAGCTGGATTACAGGAAGAAGAACGCGGCATCAAGGATTGAAGGAAGACTCATTAGCACCCTGCGA